AAAACAATATTTTATAATTTTTCCGTTTACTACTTCTTCTTCCAACCTTTAATCTCAGCACTATCTAAGGACTGATTTTCTTGTACAACTGCGCTAGGATCGTCTGTCCTGGGTTGTTATAGGAACTATGCTCCGTTTTTTCATCTCCATTTCGCTTTCTACTATCTATCTATCTATCCTATTTAAGAGCTGCGCTCTTGTCGGTGGAGCTCTTGCCACTCACTACGAAATTATAAAAATCAGTAACTTTACTCTTTAATGAGAGAAACTTAGATTAGTGACCTAATAACATAATAAAGTAAATATATGACTCGAAAAATTAAAATGTCCATTTTGTTATATTCGTTTTTTGTTAGCTTATTAATTAATTATATTCGCCCTTCACGCCAGATCGAGCTCACGTTCGTAGGTAATATAATATAATAAATACTATGAACAGAAAGGTGAATGTTCCGACACAAAGAGGAGTAAATATTTTGTGGTCACGTTTCTTACTTCCCACAGTTGTTGGTGGAATAGCATCTAAACTTCTAATAAGTATAGATAATACAAGTTTACTTTTATTCTGCGCTTATCCTGTCTCGTATTTTACTAAACTAGGTGTTATCTTGCGGAAGACCATATCACTGGTTATTTGTTTAGAATTATTTTGTTTAATTCCGTTACAATTACATGCATATTTATTGTGCTAGCGGAATTAAAGAAAATAATTCTAAAAAAATTACCAGTATCCCGTCTCGGTTTAATCACCATTATCGTATATTGAAGACTTTAGTGGGGTAGCGGTTTAACACACCGCCCCACCTTCCGACGGTCATTGGTTGGAGCACCATATAATACAAACATTTGTTTTAATAAATATATCTGTTAGTTGGTCTGGGTGTTTAAGTGATAAATTGTATATTACCTATTGTACTAGCTCTGCTTAGTTTGAGACTAGAGGGCGCTCTGTAATAAATTCAGTTGTGGTGGTATATTATCGGTTTTTATGGTTTTCGGAGTAGATCGAAATAAATAAAATTAAAAAAGGTGTTGTTTATTGAAAGGATTCAAGCCTTAACTAAATCTTTAAATCAACTCATCCATAACATATATTTTGGAAATATTTTCATTAATTTAAGGGTGAGATCACTGAGTTTCCATCTTGGTCTGTTTTGAAAATTCAAGCATCAATCAGTATAGTAAGTAATCGTTGTCTGAAAAACTCTTCTGATTAGATATCACACCCTACGTAAGTCTAGTTATGCGCAAGCGCACGAGAAGTGTTGTAATAAGTATGAAAGGTGCGCGCTCAATACAGCGTAACGAAACAATTTTGTATAAACGCTAAAGGTGTTTCCTATATCTTTTGTCTGTATTAACAAAATGGTTAGGCTACAATCAAAAACGCCGAAACACTTTACCTAAGGGTCCGACATGATTAAGAGTCGACCACCACGGAGGTCATTGACCTATACTCGACACTATGTATACCATGTTTCTGTAATCTATGCAATAAAGACTGAATGGATAGTAATAATACCAATACAGCAAACAGTAATGATGAACTAGATTTATCATACGGACGAATCATAAGTCAATCGTGGGCTATAAGCTATCGTCCTGCCAATTCTCCTCCAGATTGGTATAGCAGCTTATCAAAAACGTAACAAATAGACAGTTGGCAGACAGACAGTTTTGTCATTACACATTGATGAGAATCCAGGATAGGCGCATGTTGACAAGCGTACCTGTGATTTGATTTAGAGGTTACTCGTCGTAGTTTCCAAACGGTTATTCTGATTTCGACATTTTTATGACTTTTTTTTTTATTTCAATGGGTCATCATTCAATATGAATTGAAGATCAGCCATGTCCTGAAACAATGATCTTAGACATTTGACTAAATATTAGAGTGTGGATTCAAACTTTTTGGTAAGCTAACATGGAAATATTTCCTAGTTGTAAAATCCGTCCTAAGGTAGTGTTAAGCATATTTAAATATAATTACATCTTTGGGTTGAGCCAATATCCAATTTTTAACAACAGAAATTTCGATAAAAAAATCTTTTGATAACATCTCTGCAGTTGTTTTTTTTTATGGAACTTAGAATGGTAAACAAGCTGACGGCCCACTTGATGGAAAGTGGTAACCGTCGCCTATAGACATGAGCAGTACGATGGACATAACAAAGTATACTGTTTCACCTATGATACCGCATTGCCATTCATGAGGATTCGGGTGATATTCCTCTGTTCCCTGTAAATTCACGTCATCTCCCACTCTTCAAACCAAAACACAGCCATGCAAACAACAAATGCTTCACGATAGAAATACGAGTGGGACAGAGGTATCCAAGCAAACGAATTTTGTAGTCTCCCTCTGATAAAATAGTTGCAGTCTTAGAGTTACGACTCTAGGACGTACCCCTGGGCATGTGACAATTATGAGAGATGGTGCTGTGTACTTGTAATTGAAATGAAATGTATATAAAGTGAGTATGTCTTTTTAATAATACAAAAGAGAATGTTTGTTACTTAATTTACTTGCTTGTACGAATTTAATTAGTGTCTCAGAATATTTTTTATCCTAATTCATGTGAGTAATACAGCTAGTGATCCGCATATTTGATACAACTCGCTATGACACAAGTGTGAAGGACGTGAAACGCGTCAAATAAAGTTAGGTATAATAAGCTATCTAGGTATATATTTTTCTAAGTCGTCATTTGTAATTTTTTTCTGGTTAGACGGCAATTGAATGACAAGGTCACGCGTCTAGATTTGTTACTTCAAATAGATACGTTGAAGTGATTAAACTGGTTTAAAGAAAAATCTCACGATCATCATAAACCCAGGTTTAGCGTAAGCATGATTAGATAATAACTTTAGATAAGTGATGACAATGATCACATGTAACATGTTTCTTTTGGAAAAAGATTCAGTTGCGCTTATAAAGCTCTCAAAAAGATATAGATTTACCATTTATAAAAAGCCTAGCTTTACCCGCGACTTCGTTCACGTGATCGGAAGATGTTTATTGATAGGGATAAATAGTAGTCTTGCTTTACTACATATAATTGTCTATACCAAATTTCATAGTGATTGATAAAGCCGTTAAGGCGTTATAAGGTAACAAACAAACTCACTTTAACATTTATAATATTTGTAAGCATTACCAGATATTGTATAATTTGTTTCACAAAAAAAAAAAACACTTCAATTGTGGCAAAACCAATTATGATTTAAAAACTGAGCCCATTTTAATATTATTTCTATGGGACCAATCTATAAGTATACCTTTTCGGGTAAAAAAAGAATTTTTCAGTCAGTGACTGACACAGTTATTAGTTAAAAAATAAAATGCAACCGAATTGAGAACGTACTTTTTCCGGTTCATCAATAAAATAAAACGCTTTATCTTAGGCTAACAATAAGGTGATTGAGAGTAGGTTGGTCAATAAAAAACAGATAAAAATCATTTAAAAAATCTTATTGTATTTTTATAAATTTGAACTCTATGTATTATGTAAGTTTAAATACGAATTAATGAACAGCAATTGAAAACAATAAACGTGTCATAAGAAATTGTCTCCTCCGCAGTCTTCAATCAAGACAAATTGTAGAAATCGTTTAGACAATATCCGGAAAGTGGGTTAATTCAATAAGGTTATTTGCAAAAACACCATAGCAAGTAATCGATTTTGTTTACAAATCATTTATAATTATAATAATAACGTTTATAGCTTACCAATAGCGGCAGCGCGTCGCTCGCTTTTCGTGCTACACTTCCAAAACTTCATAGCGTATGCCGAAGGTCAGCTCCAAGATGACACTGCGCGCGGCCGGTAAGGCAACCCGTCATGATCAAACTGGCCGCTTCGCCAAAACAATGTCTTTTGTTTACAAGTGGACGACGCGAGAATTTATTAAATTGCCGAGTGTAGTGGCCGAGTGCAGAAACGGAACCCAATCAGCCGAAGCAACGCGAGTGCGATGAACGTATACCCCCGACAGACAATCTCCGGTTGTAACGCAGCACCGACTCGACGCCGGAACGCGTGGGAGCCTCAAAAGTGCTCAGACCGTATCACGTCTCCAATCCAAGTTCTACCCTATTTACAATTGAAAGGAATATAAATAAAAAATATGCTCACATCTGAAATCTTTTAATAGACCTGTGAGCGGCATTTTCAGGACTGATGATGATAGTGAAATATTGGTAGATATACGTTGGCAGGATACAAATGAGAGATGATAAGTGAGGATGAAGTCAAGTCAATCGGTTTATCGAAATGATGAATTGACAAGAGACCTGGTTAATACCAGGATGGTTTCGTCCGCATATGTGAGTGACAAGGTATACTCGTATTTGCATTTATCGCCTAACATCATGGTAGTGAACGTAAACTTTGACTTGCCCTTATTTCGCCGTGCATATTAAACCTTAGAATCCAAAGGAAAGGGATTGTTTGTAATGGAGGTTTAATATTTCTATTGCTAGCATGGGGAAAGGAATTATTAATGAGATCTAATAGCCTCAATGCCAGCAATATATGTTACCATGTTCACCTTCACAGGGTTGCTCCTCGAAATCATCGTGATTAGTTCTTGTAGAATTCTTCATGATGGACCAACTGATTCGCCTTCATCTTCGCCTATCATCTATTACAGATGGCCTGTCAGCGTATGCCGATAGCGTAAGTTACCATTTTTTTTACACATAAAAAAGAACCATTGCTAGCAACATATTAGATCTACGTCCAGGTGGTTCGCCGTGGAAATCATCGTGGTCAACTCTTGTGAAATTAGTCACGAGGCTGATCTGCTTTTGTTCTCACCTATCATCTCTCACTAGTGCCCCGCCAGCGTATACCGATAGCGTAGAACGGGGTTACAATTAAATTTCCACTCATAAAAAAAAAAAAAAAAAAACTTAGAATCTAATGTGGCTGTAGATAGGTCTTTCGCCATTATTCGAGTTAGTTTATATGAACAGGTTATAAAATTAAAATATACAGTAGAGTAAAAAAGTTTATTTTGTCTATCACATGTCTTCCTACAATTTGGAACATAGATGCCAAAAATCATTCTCTAGGGGCCAATCACTACGATTCGAAGCAAATTTATTTCCTCTGGTAGGAACTTAATAAAATATATAAAAAAAAAAAGAATCTGTTTACAATATCAGTATGCACGTATATGCAATTGTTTCATTATTTAATATTTTTTATAATTTCATATCATTTGGCATCTGCTTCGAATCTCTCACACATTTATTTATTGCACTATAAAAATACATGGATAAGCATAATTTCTAGGCACAATTCTGTAGTGTCAATATTCATGATTATGATTACACGCGTCTATCAGATACATACCTACATGTATAAATTACCCTACATCTAACTCAAACTAAATGAGATTTATTTTCACCAGCCAACCGACAAACCATCACTTACATTACATAAAATTAGGATTTTAAAATATATGACGTATCATCGACGGTTAACCACCAATACCTCCTGATATTTAGAAATTGTGGAATTTTTTAACTTACCTATTTATTGCCTTTTCTCGTTAATTTAATTTCAATACTGTGACATTGACATTAAAATATAACCCATTATTTTTTGGTTCCATCATATTTGAAGTAAATCTAACATTACAGTCTTTGTAATATTTTATTCGTGTTAAGAGATATTTGCGGTTAAAACCCTAAGACAACTATCGGTAGCTCCCAGTAAACAATGTAGCCAAATAAAAAAATATTCAATTCAATTACCTAATAATACATTCAGTTGTAGTTTTTCAAAGTTTAGTCTTTGTATTATAAGTATGTAATTTTGAACTGGGTTTAACTAAACTTTAAACAAGAATATAATTATAAGAGGTGATTTTAGTGGACATGTTGGTAAACAAAAAGATAATTAAGAAAGAATTCATGGGGGGTGGGCACAAGGTAAATGAGGATGGAGAAATTGTTGCAAACCGATTCTTTCGATCTTTCAATAGGTAAAACATGATTTGAGAAATCACGTGACGCAAATAGAATATACTATTATTATTATAACTAGGCGAGATAAACTGCGATGTATCAAAGATTGTACTGTCATGAGTACCACTTTCTTGTATGGATCTGAATGCTGGGCCGTAAAAGTGATGAATGATAATAATTATTGGTGACGGCCGTAAAGCTATTATGCTGTCAATTTCTTGTAAGATTATTTTTATATTTTAGAGTAATAAATATTAATGTATTTATACAACATTTTGAAACAAAAATCTTTTAAATGATATTGTTGATCTCGCTAAGTCCCAACAAAAGTATAAAAAAACCTTAGTGATATTAAAAGTGGATTAACTCAACTTCATAGATTGATTATGGAACGAAGTAACTAGGCCAACAAAGCACAATACAAGAGTGCAAGATATGAAAAAATAGAGTTTGCATCCTCTCGCAAATTTCAGGCTGTTGTTATAATTATGAGGATGTTTAATTATAATTTGTAATTGTAAAATCTTTATTGTAGGTACATAATTTATATTGGAAACATTAAAAAGATTTAATTTTAAATGGGGGCAATACAATGGGATAACTATTTGACTCAGTAATAAAAGAAACTTTTTTCACTTTAGAGTTTCCTCTTGTCCGTACAATTAATTCTAAGAACAAGGAATAATTCTATTGCGAAATCTTTGAACTAATTCATGCATTCTCTTCCAGTCAGCTCTATAGCAGGGCATATCTTTGACCTCCCTATACGACGTGGCACTTAGTGCCACCTTTATCTGTCCCATGTAGTAATTTCTCAGTCTTCCCCTTTTTCTTTTGCCCTCTATTTTCCTTCCGCAATGAAACTTACCGAGACTAATTTTCGTTTCGGCTCTGTATTACAACTCCAAAATATACATATGATCTTACATACAAAATGAAATCATTAGTTAATATTTTTTAAGTTCTCTTTTTTTTAAGAAATTTCCAATTATTAGAGGTCCCCATACGAACTTGACAGGCGGATGCAGTGTGTTAGTATGGGAGGCTCAAAATTTCTATTGGTTTCGACCCATATTCTTTAGGAAAAATGTTCAATGTCACATGTTAAAGCATTTCCATATTTAATGCTAACAAATTTAGATTTTACAATGTATTTGACAGTGTAATATACCTATTAATTAGATCAGGCCTTTCATCAAAGCGAATCGTTATCGTAAGCGAATTTATGAGATAGAATGAAATAGCAACGTTCAATGTCTTACTTCAACGTATGGACTCGCGAACGAAAACGATTGTATCGATAGATTCGTTTACCACTTGTCCACAGCAGGGCGATGTATACAAACAAATACCGTTTGACGAGACGTTAAATCGACTACAACCGTCTGCAGACCTCAAATAATATACAATTAAAAAAAAAAAACCAATGGACTGCAATAGACCGCCTTCTAGTTTTCGTAATAGGTTTACAAATTAAATTCGTATATAAATAACTATTACTCTTTTATTTATATACAATTCCTACTGAATTACTTCATAACATCTTTTCAGTCCCAAATATAGACAATAGTAATAAAAATGGTATTGCCAATTAATTACCTGGTGTTTTTAATTAAAATAGGCGATACAAAATTGTACTATATATTAATAGTGATGTATTTTTGTTATAAAAAAAAAGTGTATATAATACATACACACTACATTTTGTTATATGATAATAAAAATAACTTATTTAATCACAAAAACGAAGAGACAATGTGAGAACAAATTGTGTAATTTTCAACTCATAAAATAATATTAAAAGTACAAATATAATTAAAGTCTTTTAAAGTTACTTGTATGATTCTGCAAAGTCCCCTTTGATATGTAATTATAATTAAGTGTAGAATTACGTGGGGGTAAATATGAAATAAATATAAATTCTACTAACTTTCAATACAATTAAGAAAGTCATACATTTATATCAAAATTGATATTATCTTCTTTTCAAATAAACCTACACTTTACAAAGTTAAATACTAAATACTAATTGTGATGAAAAATAAATATTTAAAACTTGTCCTTATTTCACATCAAACTTTTGAAGGCACTGTTCTTTTTTTTAATAAAGTAAAGTTTAGCAGCTCAGGCTCCAAGATAGTAGAATTTAAGTTGTTATGGATATTGCTATCAATTCTGATACACAACAAAGCTAAATTGATAATGACATTGAAACTAGTGCATTCCTTTTCTATTTAGGACAAGAACAACATTAATGTTAAAATGTTATCTGAACTACTGAATAAATAAATAGAAGGAGATTTCAATCGCTGCCCTAAAACGTATTTGTATAGTTTTGTAATTTTAAATAAGTATATTTTTACATTTTGAAGTCTATTTCATGTACTAAGAAAACAATATATAAAAAAAGAAAATCTAGAATATTGAATAGTGTCATGATGTTGTAACTTAATGACAAGTACCTACAAGTTATTTTAGTAAAAACAGTGGCCATTTTGTAAAAAATAATAATTGTATTACAATATATTTTGTATAAACCTTAGATTATATAGATAGTCTCCATACAAAGATGAAGGTCGTAACTTAAAATATTATTGATTAAATAATCCTTTATAATATCGAACTTTATTTATATATTTAATCATATTATTTATTAAAAATAATGCGTAGATAAAGAATAAGAATTCGGTAGATAAAACTTGATAATTCTTTCATATTGCTTTAAAATATAATAAAATGTTGAAGTGAAGGTTGAAAATCGGTATTTGTGAATCCATGTATACTATAAATATAGACAGATAATGATACTAAAAGTAACGGCCATCTTAAATACTTTTTACTTAACCTATATCCTAACTTAACCTAATATCTAAATTTTTTATAGATTTAAAACATGTATTGATGTTAGAAATAATCGAAGCCATTTTGATTAATTGTGACACTGAATCCATATTTGAAACGTATATGAACTCTCAGATACTGATTTTGAAAGCAATCTGTCAAATAACAAGGAAATAAAAAATGCCGACCATTTTCATTAATTCTAACATCTGATCCATATTTAAAGTATACACGAATCTGTAGATTTTGATTTTGAAAGCAATTAGTCAAATAACAAAGTGCATAATATCTACTCAATAATATCTCTTTGTACATATCCACATAAATATTATATTTATATTATGTAAAAATAAATAGCACATAATACAAATAATAATTAAAAATAATTCAATTCTCAATTTGAATTCAATTCAATTCAAAGAAAAACAATTCAAATCATTTTAATTGATTTTTGTGGAATTTATCGCATACTTGTATATATACAATAAAAATGGCGCGAATTTAAAAAAATTAAATATATATAATTATATTTATGTTTAAAACTGAAGATATTTACTGGTTATCTATAAGTGATTTCTTTATTAGTTCTATTTTTCGTCTTATAAATTTTACTTCTTTTTAGTTCGCAAATACTCATTTTAATTAAATATAGACACTTCAAGATACATTGAAGTGTAAATATATAGAACACTAATAAAATAAAAGACGAGTCGACTAATTTTACACAACAATTAGCTGACAAAAATTGACCCGTTTTTAAGGCCCGAGGTTCTATCTATATAATCTAAGGTATAAACCTAAATTTAATTTCAACTAAATATCTTAAAATTTGATTTCAATTCGAGGGAGTTATCAATAACAATATATCTCTCCGTTATTATTTGTACTAAAATGTACCACCTATTATTGTGTATATAGCGCGACGGACTATATTGAAATTTTAATGACCGTAAATAAATCGGTTTAAATCATCTTCACATAACATAAAACTACATACCTACAGCTAATATAAGTCGTGTATATATGGTTATACTTACACATAAAATTGTTATAATCAGTTTTTAAACCAATACTGAAAAGGTGTTAACCTATCTTTGCTAACTTATTGCCAAAGTTACGTGTGGCGTTACAAGACCGATCAGGTTCAGAATAAGTTTGATGACTTTTTCAGTCATGAGATCTTGTTATGTTGTAATCATTTCCTCCCCATTATTCCGTTCTATGCATCTTAAAACCTCGATGGAGCCAAGGGACGACTGTTGTCAATGTCTATACCATGCACCTTGGACACGTGTTTGGAAGTGAGATACAGGAGTGACAATGTAAGCTTGTTGAGGTTGCTGAACAACAGCTAATGGGATGACTTGCTGTGCCATTTCCACTGGTTGTCCACCTTCTTCAGATACACCGAGTGGCTGTACACAGTGCTGTTGTGCTACTTGCTGAACACCACCAACCTGTTGTGTTAGAACTTGTTGGTGTTGACTCACTTGAGGAACCAACATTTGTTGTTGCATAGACTGTTGTTGTTGTGGTTGCTGTTGATGTATGACCACATGTGGTTGGTTCTGCATTTGCTGGTGTTGTTGCACCTGTACCTGCTGCACTTGTTGCTGTTGTTGCTGGACCTGTTGTTGTTGTTGCTGCTGCTGTTGTTGAGCTTGTTGTTGTGCTTGCTGTTCCCTCTCTTGTTCCTCCTTCTTTTTGGCCTCTATAGCTGCCTTTTTAGCTTCAGCCTTTTCTTTCTCCTGTTGTATCCTGATAGGATCTTTGTTTTTATCATACGACATACATTTACCACTCCGGAATGGCACCATGTCTTTCGGTAGATCCTGTTTCTTTGTGGCGAATTTAACATGTGGAAACTGGTCTTTCATGAAAGCTCGGAACGTTGAGTAACCCATAAGTTTTACACCTGGCTCTAGAATTTCTCCATACTCTTTGTATGCTTCGAATAAGTGTTTCCTAGAGTCACCTTGGATAATCACAGTTTTACTAGCTTTCTTACCTCCCTCACCTGATGGCTGAACATCTTTAGGTGAGCATGCATGTTGTTTTAAATATTCCTTTAAAAAATTTGTAGCATGTTTATAAATGTCTAGCGTGAAGGTATTGTATGGCTTCTTGCCAACGTTGCCATGTATCCGTGGCGCGACACCATGTGTCATTACATGCTGCCTGATGCGCTTAAGCTGGTAATGTGTAACATTTTCTAAATACAAGAAAGCTTCTAAACAAACCTTACGTCCTTGGTACACATAACATGCTCGTAGTCTCCTTCTTACTTTATGTCGTGATGTCTCTGCAGGATTGGCCAAACTTGCCATTGTGATGCCCATTAGATACATGTCATGTTCACTTTTCGTCAATTCGGCTATGTTCAGTCGATGACGGTACACAGCTTCTGGATTGAGTCCGCGGTAGCAGTTGTCTTTGCAATCGCATCCTCTTAGCAGTCTTTCTTTGACCTATAAATAATAATGTTATTTTATTAGAGATGGTCAGAACAAAATTACAATCAGAGAAATCGAAAACTGAAAAATATTAATATTTTTTTGCTAATATTGGGTCATTGCCCTTGACATTAATCTTTTTTTATTAGTTATATTTCTTGCGCTAAATAGCTACCATCTTTTTCTCTACCCAAAGAATGTCTGGAAGAGTTTAATTTAGCAATAAGACCTTTTTTGTATTCCATTAGTGTAATAAACAAAACCTAAATATATATTTATCTTTGTATCCTTTAAGAGCTGCAATAAAAATGAATTAATTCATCTAAGTATTAGTAATGAATAATAATTATTTATGAATTAGAAATGCTCCTGTCATAAAAAAGAATATAATAAACAGTTGTCTGATATTGATTTATTTAAAAAAAGTTTAATCTGGAGGACTATAATCAAAGATAAAAAATTATACCAATAAACTAATATATTAGTTTGCATTTTAAAATAATTTATATGAATATAAAATTTTTAGTCACTGCAAAAAATATTGAAGATAATATAAATTTAATAGCATTTTTTTTATGTACACTCGATGTTTGTTGGAATAGGTGTATTTGGTATTTTATCTAGTCAAATAGTGGCCAGGCATATTTATGAATGTACATCTTATTATTATATAATTACAGACACTAATACATAAGTATCCAAGATTAATATATTATGTAGTAATAATATAATTAAAAAAATATAAATACTGATGGTTAACAGCAAACTGTAAATCTAAATAAAAGTAGAGTTCAATCCTCAACTTATATAAAACAATAATTGATTAATAATAATATAAACTTTCAATAATGTGAAGGTGGCATTTTCTGGTGTCAATAGTTTGTAAGCTGCTCTCTTATAATAAAATAATATATAGTCTTTAACAATTTCAAAAAGGGTATATTACGGTTTCTTCAAAATGTATGTGATATCTCTAGAGTGTAGGCGTCCATAGGCTACAGTAACCATTTATCATCAGACAGGCTGTATGCTTGTTTGCCACCTTCATGATATTAAAAAAAAAACAAATAATGGAATATATGAATCAGGTGACCATAGAATAAATATATGGTCCTAATTGTATCTAGTATTATTAATTTAAATGTGACATGTTTTTAATTGAATGATATTGAATTTTTATTTTTCATGGCAATGAAACTTTATCCTGACATTAAACTCTATAATGTTGAACAGGAATAAAATATGCACAACACAAAATTTCATCAAAATTAGACTAGTAAGTATTTTTCGCTGATGTGTACCTAGACACACTCTACTTATGAATATATATTCAGTTTTATGTCAAATAGATGATATATTATTTTGATGGGCAGCCTAAACATCTAGTTGTTTAAGATAATATATTCATGATAATATTATCATAGCAAGCATGACACACTATATTTATCTGAAGTTCACAGCCCTAATTTATTCACTAATTGTGAATATTTTTTTTTTATACTTGGCATAATTTAATATTTGTCATCATTTCAAATTAACAATCAGAATAGAAAGATTTTTATGTTATTTTTTTTTCAATATTATTTTTATATAATTATTATTTAATATTATTTGTGCCATCATGTGTTCCCAGCATAGATTGGATCACCTCTTCCTTTCCAATGGGGATCAAGAGTAAACCAAAGGAATTTAATAGTGTAGGGATGGGCAATAGTATCCCTCTTAAAACATCACCAAAAACCAGTTCAGTTAATGGCTGATTGTTTATGTTCTATTTTTAAATGATCAATTTTGAAATAAAAAGGTTTAAGTTCGTTTATTAAATATGCAAAGTATAAAAAGAGATATAATTATAGAATTTTTAATAAGAATTATCTAATAAAACACATACCTGAGCAGGGTTATCCTCCAGTTTATTATCAAGTACCTCTTCATCACTATCTGAATCTGCCTTTTTCTTTTTTTTCATACCAGTTTTTTTCTCTACTTTAGGCTTTGTTTCCACATCCAATTCTCCCGTTTCACCTTCTACATGTGATCCAAATTGGATTGTGTATGATGTCGCTATGCCTTGCATACTGGCATCCCCATTTTCCACTTGGATTGTATGACCCTGCCATAGGACCTGAAAATGATATGAAAATCTAGATGAAGCTTTGTTTGTTTAATGCCGATCATAGGTTATGTCCCATAAGAGAATATAAGCCAAAGATTGCCATCTTGATTAGGCAGAATTGCATAGGGTTTTAATTAATTTTCCTTTTTGGGTACTGCTTATTTTATGGAAAAAGAATAGTAAAATAGATGACTGATATCATGCTCTATCCCATCAGTTGATTATTAAAATATTAATGGAATAAAAATAGTGGTGAAATATTGTGTTTTACTCCATTACCAGATAGATGAATAAGCTGTCTATTAATTTGATTACATTGCTGAGTACTGTACATTTAACAGTTTATAGACTGATATATAATACGAGTTTATTAATCAAGTGACTATATGGCAATATCGAGATAATATATAGATTTAAACTTCATTTCTGTATACAATAAAAATACCACATAAACAAGTTTGTTTCATTGCTAGTCTATGTAATTAAATAGTAATTACCAGTGTGATTTTTTAGGTAAAGCAGTCAGTGATGAATATAATAGACAAAAAATATATTTAAATTAGGAATAAACAACCGACACTGATACTTTTTGAATAATATTATATACAACCTCTTTATATTCTAGCATTTGTTCGCAGCGATTAAAATGTATTTAAGTAAGATTAAATTTCTATTTTAAATTAAATATATTAAATATAAAATAGATAAATACCGGTTCTTGGTGGCCATTGTAATTGTGTTGTTGCATGTTCTGAGGAGCACCCATCTCGAAAACGGAATGTTGGCCCATAACTGGCGTGTGCCACTGGGCACTCTCGCCGTATTCGCCGCCGCCGTTCTGGTCTGATGGTATCGAGACGATGATTGCCTCCTTACTGTCCACACTCCTTCTCTCAACAGACAACAGGGAGTGAAGCACTTCGCTCGCCTCCTTTTCCGCCGGGTTTACAACCTCCATCTTTTCGAACGACATACTGCTCGCTCCACGCTACAACCGATCGTGCACGTCAAATCACATGTACCTACATACGTGTATGTACAAAGGAGGCGACACGACAAAACCGCCCAGGTTCATACAATTTCTATATAACCCCGGCGTAAATAAGAGAAAACCGCGGAGAACTTTTCAAATTCATGTAAATAAACATAACAAAAACCGCGCAATTATTAACCTTAATCGCATTTTTTAAGTTTCATTATCGCATAGCGGATCGAACTCCCGTGGAATATTGGGCCATATAGTCATAGCAAAGGAAGAATAAAACTCACCTTTTTCCCTTTAAATCAGAGTCCGTTGTGTATAGAAAAGTGTTCCCACAGTTACCGACCGTCTATGGTTTGTTTTATTTCACTTAATTTTCATATTGCAGTCATAATTGAAGAGAAATGTACAAATATTTCAATGAATTCACGGAAGCAATATGGCGATACACTTTCCGTGAACAAATTCTGAGGACGCCGTAGAACACGTAATTAGTACAGTGCGCCACCACAAGACAGCGCTACTATCGCGCATTTCCGTATCGACGCTATTCGCTTCGATAAAAAGCCGCGTATTTCAAACTAATGCTCTTTTGTTCACTAGCTAACTAGAACTAATAATAAATTGCGATTAAAAACAAACGTAAAATGGAAATAAATAAACTAGACAAATTTAGTGTAAGTTTACTTTTTAACTCAAACGAAACGAGTTCATAGATAAGTAATGTCGGAGCAAAAATAGTTTAAGGTAAATGTAAAGTTATATGACACTAAGATCTAACGTCTAATACTTTACGATTATAAATAGTTTGTTTTTGTTATAAAGAGTTATTTATAACAAAAATAATAGTGGTAGTTACCATTTTCAATTGAAATTGAAAGTGATAACTATCATCTTTAGACATCAACATCACTATGGAGATTATTGGGCATGACCATCATTTATTAAAAAAATTCTTTATTATTTAATGTCATGAACATTTTAAAACGAACATTTAAACTAGAAAAAGATTATGTATATGAAGAAATATGTACTATAACTATATGTACAATACAAGTCTGAAACTAGGATTTCTTGTAATTTAACTAATAAATTGATTTTAATATTTTTTTTAACAATATGTAGAGTATCAGAGAAGATTCATGTCATGTCAAATATATAATTTTGAGTTTAGGTTTTGAGTTTATGTAAACAAAATACATGCGGTAAAAGTACGAGTAATCATTACTTACGAGCTATTACTTGTTAATTCTAAAATGATGAAATTATCGCAGAATAGTTGTTCTTGAATAGTTTTATAATAAAATTGGCGATAGAATACAATATATTAAACTGGCATATGCTGCTCCAGTAACTGCTTTTATTACATTAAAATATTAAAGCTTACATTAAGGACGAATAGCATGTGACACAATAGTATGGGTTTTATTAACGAACTAATGGACATCAGAGGGCAAGACTGTCAAGTCGACCTCCACTGCGGTTCGTGTTTCAACCATTGTGACTAATGTTTGTTGCATGGCTGTGTTTCGTCACGATGGGCTAAACTGAGTCCTCAGAAATGGCTCCATACTCATGGGCGAAATATCATCTCTCACTGGTACTCGCCAGCGTATCTGATAGCGCAGGTGGGGTTCCACATTCAATCATTATCATCCATAAAAAAAAATAGTATGGGTTTTATTAACGATATGTACCCTCGCGAAGTCGGGGCGCGTCTACTAGTAAAAGATAAATATAAAACCTTTTTAATAACTATATTATAATTTGTAATTCTTTAAACATACAGGTATGTGTTTGAAGTACCAAATACGTATGCGATTAAACAGTAATAGGATGAATAAATGCCTACAAATCGATAACCTCATCTATAATTCTGTATTTGACTGCATGAATATTAAGGAATCCCAATTATACAATATTCTTATCAACAAAAAGTTGTGTTATACGTTATGGTCAAATTTTATATTTAATCCTTCTTGTAATACCTATTCAAATACTTTGAACATTGGTATTTACTCGTATTTTCAATGCTGTACTCTAATATATTACGCACGTTGAAGGTAAGTTCAAGGTCTCAAGGTAAAAGTCAATACTACTTTTAACATCCAATATACATACCATACACCCATTTGAGGGACTATGTACCTACCCAGAAGCAGTTGTGTTTGCATGGCTGTGTTTCGATTTGAAGGATAGGATATGGCGTGAATTTACTGGGTACAGAGGAATAACACCTGAGTCCTCAGGATTGGCAACGCATGGGGGGTATCATGGGCGAAACAGTATACTCTGTTATGCCCATAGTACTGCTATGTCTATAGGCGACGGTTACCACTTTCCATCAGGTGGGCCGTCAGCTTGTTTGCCATTCTAAGTTGTATAAAAAAAAAACACAATTTCAAGCTAAATTTATTAAAAATTAAATTACATGCCTAATTTTTTATATAACTGAATATTTTTACTTTGAAAATGTACCATAAAAAAGTATTTGTAATTTTTACGTGAAGTATCAGTATCTTTAAACAATGTTGTGATTGGCATCGGTTCAACATTACCGAATACTCTTAAAACTTATAGGCAAAATACATTATAAAGATCTATTATTAATGAATAGCCATCGTCTCATATAAATATCGATGCTCTGAGATGACAGATATTCGTAAAAGAATACACGCGACTGCGATGCAAGTATATAAATATGTGGGATGATAAAAAAATATAATAAGACTTATTCAACATGATAGGGACTTCTCTGAGGAAGCCTTAAAATTAACGCTTAATGAACCGTTTAAAATTAAGTAAGATATATTTACATACGTGACTATCGATCGATAACTTTCATGGCACACTATCGCACTTATAGGTTTTCTTAGTGTAAGCCCGTAATAGTAAATGAGCAGTTACGTGATACCTAATAATCTGATGTTTTATTTGATGTTTATTGACTCAAAAATGATGCTTAGATTCGATATTTAATATGTGACGTATCTTTTCGTAAGATCACCATTCTAAATTTGAAATGGGAACAAGAAGTTGGTAAACAAGTACGTGAAATTAGGTCTGTTTTTCGAATTTTTAAACGATACTTAAGAATTGTAAGTTTTTTTTCTAAATTAAAAAGTTCACCTTTGTAGAACATCTCGCCATATAAAGAAATATGGGTGAAGAAATGCCCATTCTCAGTAGTTTGATGATATTATTATTGATGATCGATTATAGAATTGTCACCGAACCTACACTAAATAGTGTAGGTCGGTTTTTATTCAATCACGTCAATTATAACAAGCATTCGTGAAGATATATATACACAAACACAGATGAGAAAATATACGTACATATATTAACATCTATAAAAAATACTTGGTAGGTTTGTATTTAAAATTTAGAAAGGTGCATTATATATTTATAATATAAATTTGTGTATTTATAACAGCATCAAGGATAAAGAGGGTCCGCAGCGACGTGGAACATTCAGCGGGGTAGGTACCTATCTCGTCACCAGAGCAACACATCCGTTGTTCATATTATTAGACGGACTAGCTATAATACTCAGCTTTCCTCGCGTGTATATGCTCTAGCTGTCTGTGTTTACAATTGCATTTAAGTTCGTTCAACCATTTTAAGTACATATCATAAATTACATATCAAACATCCAAATATGTAAGACTTTGTACAAAAGTCGATTGCTTGGGTACCTCTGTCCCATTCGTGTTTCTACCGTGAAGCAGTTGTGTTTGCATGGCTGTGTTTCGGTTTGAAGGGTGGGATATGGCGTGAATTTTCTGAGTACAGAGGAATAACATCTGAGTCCTCAGGAATGGCAACGCATGGGGGGTATAATGGGTGAAAGAGTATACTCTGTTATGTCCATGGTACTGCTCATGTCTATAGGCGACGGTTACCACTTTCCATCAGGTAGGGCGTCAGCTTGTTTGTCATTCTAAGTTGTATAGAAAAAAAAATTAAATCAATGTTTACAATTAATAGAATTCATGAAAACCTTAATCTTTACTTCCTTATTGATATTATAAAAATTAAATGTGAAAATGAGTTTGTTTGTTTATTATTTCTTTGAGTCTTAACCTCTACTACTCGTGACGATATAGACGGAGAAGGACATAGACTACGGTCAATGAACATATCCCGGTCACGCGAAGTTACGGGTAAAAGCTGGTAATACCAGATTAATCTCGTTTATTTCTCCTTCTATAAAATATTTGCATTTTATTAAACATACGCGAATTATTTGACATGGAGAAGGATATACACTATTTTTTATCAAAGTCACGTGGTCAAAATCACAGGACAAAGCTAACTTTATTATAAAATACGTATGAATATATAAGAACACCTAAATGTAACGGTTATTGTGAACTTAATAAGTAGTTATTTGGCTGATTAAATTATTTGTTACATTCAAGCGACTTGCTCCACAGGCCATTGTCCTAATTTTACTCAGTTAGTAGGTATCTATTATTTCCTATTTATCAATTGTGATATCAACAACAAATACAGTAAAAATAAATACCACCATTATAATAAATTGCTTAAATTAGTCAATTTATATACCTAATATATACAGTACATACTAAGACTTAGGTGCTTCTTAATGTTTCATTTAAATAAAAATATAAAGGTAATGATTAACAACGCGTAAAATTTGCAAATAGCAAAAGGCGGGAATTTGGTATCACGACAGATGTCTATAATAGGTAGGTATTTTGACAATAAGTAGGTAAGAACAGAAATACATAGTATTGATCTAAAAATACTGTGATAAATAAAAAAAATTGCATGTACGTATGTAATGTATGTATAACGTATGTAAACATGTACGCGTGTAAATATCGGTATACCGGGGGGGGGGGGAAAGGGATTGTTAGTAATGGAGACTGAGCATCCCATTGCTAGCAATATACCCAACCAGGTCGACCTCCTCGCGGTTCTCCTTGGAAACTATCATGGTCAATTCCCGATAAATTCATCATGATGGGCTAACTGGCCTGTTTCCATTTTCATCTATCACCCTTCACTGGTGCTCCGCCAGCGTATCCCATTAGCGCAGGCGGGGTTATCATACCATTTTCACCCATCAAGAAAAAAAAAATATCGGTATACCTGCCCTATCTACTAAGGTGGATAACTTGACTATACGACTGTATGTGACTGGAATAGGTATGTTTATTTTCGAATTTCTTATTTAATAATGTTTATATAAGAAGATATATATAAAACTAAATAGAACTCAAATATAATTATAAAATTTTATAAATCGATTAAATAAAAATATTATTTGTTTTCACATAAAGTCATGCCAATTCGCCAAAAATATTTTTTTCTCTGCTGTAAAGAACCTTTTACAATTAAGTACTCATACAACTTCCGGTTGTAACAGTCATTGTGAAGGAATTAATAATTTTTATTGTCTTCTACGTGATGATTCTTGTAACTATCTACTTACCAGCTGCTGTATCCAGAGTGAAACAACTGCTACGAGACTTAACGACAGCGCCTGGTGAATGACCATCAGGCCAATCCATTTTCTCTTCCATAGCTTTAGAAGCACTTCTTTTAAACTGCTCCAGAAAACTGTCTATTTGTGTCTCTATACTAGTTGGAGAAGAAGCCATCGTTTCCACTGAAAAACCGAAAACAAACACAAAAGCTAACCTGTCATTCAGGACATTTTACGTTTTGCCTGAAATCTTTTATATTATTTAAGTTCGCCACTGAAGACATTCCGAAACGTTTTGTATTGCATAATTATTATCCGTCATTCTCTCGCCGAATTCGTTCATCGACCCGAGTTTACGCACATTATATCAAAGGAACCGCAGGCCTCCACCGACTACGAAGGAAGCTATCGGGCAGTGCAGTGATTTTACTACGGATACCGTTATTCTATATACGGCATCGAAAATAAAGCGCAAGCCACCGACATCTATCGATCGCTTTAGACAGCTGTTATTAGAGAGTTGCCAGTAAAAGTTATTATTATTGCTATTATTAAAAATAAGATTGGTAAGTTTGATTTATAACCGTTGTTATTATTTAAGTGCCTAAATTACATAACAAATCATTGTAAAATGTTTATCATTAAAATTTATTTCTATAAATAATTTCATTCCTTTCAATACGCATGCGTAATGTCTACGTGTGATGTGTAGTAGCGCTATCATTTTATCCTTGTACATTAGTGTGCGTCAGTGGCACCAGTGGCGCGGTAAGGGGGTCGAGTTGAGACTCGAGTCACCGGTTGCGCACGCTGCGTGCATTCGATAGTGCTGCGCGAAGAGCGCGTGTACTTTGTGTCATTAGAGGTGACTGGAACTGTCACGCACGAAACTACACCCGGCTACAAAATGTCAAGTAAGTAACTATAAAATATATTTTTCTTTTTTATTATATTTTTTCTATAATTCTTTACCTCTTAAGGTGTAATAAAATGCAAATAATGATTGTTGCGAATTTTACTAATAGTAGATTTTATTATTTATATTAAGTTGCTTATAGGGTAGTTATTAAAATATTATTATTGTACTTTTGTAATTATTCTCTTTAAATAAATTTATAAATATACGTATAAAACTATCACAATGTAGCTAAGCATTAAAATATGTGTATATTATTATTCTAATACATTTAAAATAAAAATATTTAATAAACTACATGTGTAGGTACTCTTATTTTCTTTTAAATATTTACCGGTCAATTAAACAACTATTTAATTGTTCGTTTACTTTTACGTTTTCTCGTACTTTTAAAGAAATCATTAATCTAGTAAGTTTTAATTATAATTAAGAACTTATATAATATAAACAGAGTTTTATAAGTAATTAATTATATTAAACGTTTATGAATCCACCAATTTTATACTAAACGTTGTAATGAAACAGAAAATTAAAAAATTTCAAACTTTCGATCCTTACTTCGTTCATATTTAGAAGCTTAACAAGGTTACTTAATTTACTTAACTTTCTTACAAATTTGTCGAACCCTTGCAACGCGATACATTGAAATAAGGTTGAAAGATGAAATGCTGTAAAATACGATGGACATCCTGCTCAATTTTGTTTTTTGTTAGATTTTTCTAAACTTTAGGTAACCAGAGGCTGTTATTGGCATATTAAAGGTATTTTGAAAGAGTGCGGGAGGAGAGACTATCCCTTTAAAAGACTTTTAAAATTTATAGACTCTTGACAGGTATTTGTCCATAGTTGAAAGTTTTGGAAGTGATCCTAGGGTGGGCACTAATCGATTCTCTGGTGGGCAGGTCCACTTGCCCCTCGTGACCTTAGATTGCACCAATTATTAGTCGAATCTTAATATTACCACTATTTCTGATGAGGACAACCTTGAATATTATTTCGGTCCAGCCTGTGTCCGATTATCGTTGTTGACATTATAAATATCATGTACGTCATCTTAGTTCACAATATTTCTGTATTTACAGACCAAGAGATAAAATGTGGTCTCTGTAGTAAACACAGGTATTCGCAATTCAGATGTGAACTTTGTATTATCTGATGTAAATAATAGGGTCATTATTATTATTTTTATCTCTCTTTATTTTTGGAATCTTTGTACATTGAATTAAACTATCTATAATAATTTATACACAGAATATAATTGTACTCCATACCATACCATAACAGCCTTTAACTGTCCGCTGCTAAACATAAGCCTTCCCCATAAGGAGAGGGAGACTTTGTACAAAAGTCGATTGCTTGGGTACCTCTGTCCCATTCGTGTTTCAGCAATTGTGTGAAGCAGTTGTGTTTGTATGGCTGTGTTTCGGTTTGAAGGGTGGGATATGGCGTGAATTTACTGGATACAGAGGAATAACACCTGAGTCCTCAAGAATGGCAACGCATAGGGGGTATCATGGGCGAAACAGTATACTCTGTTATGTCCATGGTACTGCTCATGTCTATAGGCGACGGTTACCACTTTCTATCAGGTGGGCCGTCAGCTTGTTTGCCATTCTAAGTTGTATAAATAAAAAAAAAGGTTTTTGCCAGTATTTTCCACTCTTGGCAGGCGAGTTGACAACTGCAGTTAGGCTTTGATAATATTTTAAGAGGGAGGCCACTGCCCATCCTTCGACCATTAAATTCCCTTAGTCACCTTTTACGGCATTCACGGGAAAGACAGGGTTGGTTAATTATATGCCGGGACCACACGGCACGTACACTATTACGTTATGTTAATTTTTTATATTTAATGCTAGACAGTGTAATTTTAGCTGCATCTGAGTTTGGTGATACTTAATCGATCATTATTTAGAGTAAAAATACGATACCTAATAAAAAATGCATTTTTATGGCTGCCGTGCTAGGTATACGCTGTTAGGATACCACCGAGAGTTGATAGCTGAAGTTGGATCAGTTAGCTCATCGTAATTCGAATTTACCAGGAATTAACCACGATGATTTCATGGGGCTTGACATCATACGTTTGTATTGCTAGCTGTGTAGCTAAAAGGGGTAGAGGAATGGATTATTGGTAACGAGGACTAGTAGCTATATACATTACTAGCTATATACGATTTCAGGTCGACATTCACATCGCCCTACAAACCATTGTGGTTATGTTTTTGTGATTCATCACAATGGGTCAACTGACTGCTCTTTATTCCCATCACTTATTTCGCCATTAGGTATTAGCATAAGCCGTTAGCATAAGCACGGTTATCATTCCTTTCATCACCACCATCATATCAGCCTTTAACTGTCCACTGCAGAATATAAGCCTCCCTCTTGGGGGTTGTGCCAGTAGTTGCCATGCTTGGCAAGCACATTGTAACCGCAGTTAGACTTTGGAGATGTTTTAAGAAGGATGCTGCTATCCATCCCTCGCCTTCCCTTAGTCGCCTTATACGACACTTACAGAAAAGTTAGGGGTGGCCTTTTCTATGCTGGGACCACACGGCCCTATTATTCCATTATCATCTATAAAAAAACTCTCAGTAACTAATGTGAGAATCTACAATAATATTGCAGTCTGTTGTTTTTCAATAATCCTTACCTACGCTTCTATTTTATGCGTTATATGGTTTTGTCTTTTTGATTTAACGAAATGGCAATCGGTCTAATCGTTATTTAAGATATCGATTGTAACATTACGTTCTTATTGTGGTTTGATATCCGATATTCAATACAGACCGCAAACGTTCATCCGATTCCGACCTGATTGCGGCTAAAACGGCGCCGACATTATACTTATTGCATACCGATACATCAGTATTGTCGTCATGTGAACATGTAGACAGAAGGTTACATATTGAAGATTATACTGAGGACAAGACTTGATGATATCTTCAACCTTTGGGTCAATTATTTTAATAATACCACATATTTACCCTTAGCCGTCCACTATTTCTTTGCCAAATTGGTTTTGTCGTTTTGGCGACAAAATGCAATAAGCAGACGTGAGTTTATATGTTTGTTATAGCAATCACATATTTTTAATATTAGAAATTTGTTGAACTCTTGATGAGTCGAAACTGACTGACAGGTATATAACAGCTTTGAATGATGAAACTTCTATACAAAATTTATTTTTATAAGTTGGTCTAAGAAAGAAATTTCAAAAATAGATGATAGATAGATACATTTATTTGGCACAAAATTGTTTTTACAGATCTTGATTTAATGTGAAGTATAAATGTTCGCCTTATAGAATGCATGCAAATTCATTGATGGGTAGGTACAAGTTTTTAAACTTCTAAAATTTCAACATCAAATTTTCTAATTCCATGAAGTAAAAATAAAGTAAAAATAAAATAGTAATCCTACCTGTGTGCATACACTGGTGAGGTACCAGTGAAAAATGATAGGTGAAGATGAAAGCAGGTCAGCCCATTGTGACGTATTTTACAAGAATCGTTTCTAAGAAGAAGGAGGTTGACCTCATGCATTGCTGGCAATAGAGCTATTAGACTTTAATATTAATCCCTTTCCCCATGTGTATCTCTGTTAGTAAATGATAAAAAAAATTATCAGAGATAGTAAAATATAAAATCAGAATTACACTTTCAGTGTGGTTTTAATATAATTCATTATGTAAATATTTTTATGATGAAAACATAAATAGCTGGCTGTGTTTTTTTTTATACGACTTAGAATGGCAAACAATCTGACGGTCCACCTGATGGAAAGTGGTAACCGTCGCCTATAGACATGAGCAGTACCATGGACATAACAGTACACACACATACTATTTCGCCCATGATACCCCCCATGGGTTGCCATTCCTTAAGACTCGGATATTATTCCTCTGTACCCTGTAAATTCACGCCATATCCCACCCTTCAAACCAAAACACAACCATGCAAACACAACTGCTTCACGGTAGAAACACGAATAGGACAGAGGTACCCAAGCATTCGACTTTTGTACAAAGTCTCCCTCTGGTAAGTGGTGTTGATCCTAATGTTCTGCGAGCTTATGAACGTTTTGTGATTTAAAGAGTAAATACTACTGTTTAAACCAATAATATAATAATAATAATAAAACTTTATTAACAAATACAGGGTTGCACTGTTAAATATTTTTTGCCCTAACTTACAAATTAGGGTAACCTGTGCCTTGTAAGCTAGTTCTTTTCAACACACAAGAACAAATACTTTGTATTTGTACATGTAAAATTAACAATATTTAGCTACAAACAAAATAAACAGGATGAAAAAAAAGAGGGAAAAAAAAACAAATTAATGTTTAACTAGAAGATTACAGTTCATTAAATTTTTAAATCTGTAACGTTCAGTGTGTGGTGTGAGAGAAGGTGAACAGTGTGAGTGTATGTTTAAAGTGAGAGGAAGAGTGGTATTAATGTGTATACTATTTTTTTTTATAATTTCTTCATTGTTTTATAAGTTTTATAAGTCTAGATGCAGATTAGATTTTAAAATAGAACAATAGCTGCTCGTTTTATGGCTCATAACCTAGTTATCTAGCAAATCGCAAACAAGTCCTGCTTTCTCTGTCTACATTGCTAGGTTTTACCAGAGTTTGTTTTTACTTTTTTTTATGACTAGATATTGGCAATGTATTCAGACATAGAAGTAAAATTTCGGATACAAAATACCATGTACAATTGTATATCTTGCATGTACGAGGGTAAAGTACCTATAAAAGAAATGTAAATTTTGCTCAAGAATAATGCATGTACAAAGATCTGCGCATGAATGGATTTCGTTTCTTTTTTATTTGACAAATTTCTAGACTTAGGATGAACATGTTATTATTGCATTCCTTTATTCCGTTAAACGGTTGACTGCCCGCGTTGTTCCATCCCGCCAGACCGGCCGCACCTAAATAGAAACTACAGGGACATTGCTCCCGAGTTGCGTCTGATCCTGCATCTCA